CATCCCTTGGCTGGCTGAATCTGCATTCCTGGATGTTGAAGGACACTGGGCTGAGCTTTCTTTAAGTCTCCTGCTGGCCTCCAAGGGTCGCTGTCCCAGGCAGTGGACAAGAACCAGGCCCAATGGGTCCAATTTCCCCACTTGAGTTGGTGTCTGCCTGTCTCTCCACTCCCCCACTTTGAAGTTCCCATGTTGGTGGGACCGACAGGCTTGAAGGGTAAGGTCCAGGGCCAACAGCAAAGTGAGAAGGAAATTGCGGTGAGGGCTGTGAGGCTTCTCTGGCCCTGGCCCAAGTTCTTATGAGGTGTTGGATTCTAGCAAGGTGCAGGCAGGTATGGCTCTAAGAGCAAGATAGACCAAGAAGAGGGGTTGACATAGTGGTCGCAGGCTAAATGGGAGCGGGCTTGGTGCTTTGTAATGACATGGCCGTTATAAGATTTGAACTTGTAGCTTGGACTTAGTATCCTTTCCCCCACATCCAGCCAGGCCTTAGACTTTATCTGGGAAAGGATCTCCATTAGGCCTTACCTTTGGCCTTGGTCTTTAGCCGGGGATGAATGTGTCCTCAACAAATCGATTGCCTATGCTTTTTTTTTGCCAGACTCAAATCTTAAAACACAACGCTGGTTAAGCCCTCATCATGCAAAAAACAGCCTTCAGTGGTTCCCCACTGCCTTTAGAATCAAGCCCTAAACTCCTTCCCTGTAGTGTCTCTAATCTGTAGCCAGTCAGCTGCAATGTCCCTTTACAGACTCAGTTCATGCTTGGTGAATTTGATTAGAAACTGAATAAAATGCTGTTGAGAGGCGTTCTTCCCTCTGTCTTTTCTGACCCCCTCAGCTGGGAAGAGCTTCCTCCTCTATGTTCCTGTAGCACTTTTCTCTCGCCAGAGGTAAATTCTTTTGTGTGACACTTACCTTATTCTTCTTTGTGTAGTTTTCTTGTAGACCCACCCTTTGGACTGTGTTTGTTCATCTTTGTATTTTCCACTGTGCGTCTAGGGGAACTACTGGGCCCGGTCCCCCTAGACGCACAGTAAATATTTGCTGATTTGGAATATTTGTCCGTTCTGAACTGGGACCTGGCGGAGGGAGATGGGATGAGCAGCTCTTGAAGATGTGCAGATTGCCAGAGGCTAAGTCTGAGTGACCATATTCTCAGGGTTCATACCACATGTCCAACTTCACCCCAAGGTCTAGCTGTTTTGCTGGGAGCCAGAAATACTCATGATGGGGTTGAGTGCTTAGGATCCCATAGCACGTTATCCATTAATTATCTCCTGGAGTGGTTCAATATTCCTTATCCATTAGCCCTCTCCAATTCCTCTTTTCTCTTCCCCGCCCTTGTAAATAAAGTACAGTTTGTGCTTTATTGATTTACTATTACACAAAGTCCCCTACAAGAGCTTATTTAAATCGTGATGTAGGGGAAACATGCTTTTGCATTGGAAGTCGAGAGAAACTAGCTGCGTTACAGTACCATTTATTTAGGAAAACAGTAACAAATTCACACAGGAGCGTTAATTTATTAAAAGTTAATGGTAGGGCTCCCCTGGTGGCGCAGTGGTTGAGAGTCCGCCTGCCGATGCAGGGGACACGGGTTCGTGCCCCGGTCCGGGAAGATCCCACGTGCTGCAGAGCGGCTGGGCCCGTGAGCCATGGCCGCTGAGCCTGCACATCCGGAGCCTGTGCTCTGCAGCGGGAGAGGCCACGACAGTGAGAGGCCCGCGTACCGCAAAAAAAAAAAAAAAGTTAATGGTAGGTGTTGTTTGGGGAAAAGCAAGCTTAATTGGCAGACGAGGTTGTAGTTGGGAAGGCTGAGAGACCTAAAATGCTTTCAAGGAGCATATGTAGGATATCTTACAGGACTTTAAAAGTTGATCTTTATTCTGTCAGTTTCACTTAATTTTGAGTTTTATTTCCTCTGACTTAGTAGCAGTGTCCTTCCCTTTCTCAATCATGGAGAGACAGTTCTGTTTGCCTGTTATATATTAACTAACCAGGAATGGTGAAAACATTAAGGGCTTAGCGGTGTGCAAATCTACACTCCGCCTCGTAAAGGGAAGAAAGAGGTGGTGGGGAAGTTGGATGATGCCATTCCCCTCCCAGCCACTAGTGGTCACTATCATCCCAGGAAAGCTTGGTTGCTGTCTTTCTGGAAAGTTCCTGGGTCCAAGAGGTGAGAGAGGAAGAGGCAGGGTTACACCTAGTTACTTGAACATAATAAGGGGTGATTTAAATGTGGAGTCCCTGCATTTCATAGAATTTTGGAATTTGTGACTTGCTTTTTAGAGCATTTAAATTTTCTGTCCTCCAGGTAAATTTAAAGTCTTTGAGTAGAAAAGTCACTGATTCGGTCTTTAATTTCTCTTAACCTGCCACAGTCTTTACCTCCACTTCACACAGGGAAAATCCAGCTGGTATTGAAAGCAGGGGTTTGGTTTTCTTTGGTGCCAGTCTACAGCATTTAGTAAGGCTGCTGTCCGGGACCGGTCCAGTGAGTCGTTGCAGTAGTAAGTTACCTTCCTGGTGTGAATAAAAGACATCTTTCTTGCCTTCTAGCTACAGTGCCTCAACGTCTTCCATTATAGATTAATTTCTTTGGGTTTTGCTTTGCCCTTGCCTCGTTCTTGCTTTTAAGATGTTAATGCCTCATAGGAGGATTTTTTCATTAAGTCATTAACTCCCTAGCTGGGAAATTCATTGATTTTTTTTTTTAATATTTATTTATTTACTTGGTTGCTCTGAGTCTTAGTTGTGGCAGGCGGGCTCCTTAGTTGAGGCACACGAACTCTCAGTTGCGGCATGCATGTGGGATCTAGTTTCCTGATCAGGGATTGAACCCAGGCCCCCTGCATTGGGAGCACGGAGTCTTACCCACTGTGCCACCAGGAAAGTCCCAGAAATTAGTTGATTTTATTCTTGAGACTCTAGCAACTGAGCTTCCAAAGAACTTTGGATTCTGAGGAGAAGCGTTGGCACTAAAAACGGTAAAATGAAGGGGAGAAAAGAACAGTGGTAGGGAGGCATCAGAGGAAAAGTGTTGATACATACAACTTTTCAATCATCCCTTCACTTTCTCTGGTTGCAGTTTGTACCTGTTACAGGTGCTTGTTAAATACTCACTGAATGAATGAACGCGTGGCTGATTTGCCGTAGACTTAGGCATCACAGGGACAGAGTGGAGGGGCATGGTGTCTGGCCATTTGAACTCTGGAAGTCCCAGGACAGAGAGGAACTGAGTGCTGAGTGAACTTGCTCACAAACCTCAGCCCCCAGCCCACCTGCAAGAGCTCAGGGAATATCTGGGCCCAGCTTATGATTTGGGGGAGGGGGAGGGGCCTGAAAATTCAGCACAGTTTCCTCCTTTTCCATGACTGGGAACAGGGATCACACTTGGGTTTCATCTCATTTGCCTCTCTGGTCACTTGGTACAAGGCCCAGGAGTTCTGTGTTAAGAACGATTCTGAAGCCCAGAGGCACAGACAAGATCAGTGTGCCGTGGTTCAGGATGGGGGCAACAGCACCTCGTGTGTCAGAGTCTGCCCTGGAGGACTGATTTTGCCTTTTCTCCCCTCCGTCTCTAGGGACCCAGCTGGGGCCTGCCCTGGGAGCCAGGATGGCCATCCAGAAAGCAGTGCTGATATGCCTGGGACTGCCTCTCTTCCTACTCCCAGGGGCCCAGGCCCAGAACCACGCCCCAGCTGGCTGCAGCCCGGACCTCAACCCCCTCTATTACAACCTGTGTGACCGCTCTGGGGCTTGGGGCATCATCTTGGAGGCAGTGGCGGGGGCGGGCATCGTCACCACTTTTGTCCTCACCATCTTCCTCGTGGCCAGCCTCCCCTTTGTGCAGGACACCAAGAAGCGGAGCCTGCTGGGGACCCAGGTGTTCTTCCTGCTGGGGACCCTGGGCCTCTTCTGCCTCGTCTTTGCCTGTGTGGTGAAGCCTGACTTCTCCACCTGTGCCTCTCGGCGCTTCCTCTTTGGGGTCCTGTTCGCCATCTGCTTCTCCTGCCTAGTGGCCCACGTGTTAGCCCTCAACTTCCTGGTCCGGAAGAACCACGGGCCCCGGGGCTGGGTGGTCTTCATCGTGGCCCTGTTGCTGAGCCTCGTGGAGGTGATCATCAACACGGAGTGGCTGATCATCACGCTGGTGCGGGCAGGTGGCGGCGAGGGTGGCCCTCCGGCCAATGGCAGCGCCAGCTGGGCCACCGCCTCCCCCTGTGCCATCGCCAACGTGGACTTTGTCATGGCGCTGATCTACGTCATGCTGCTGCTGCTCTGCGCCTTTACGGGGGCCTGGCCCGCCCTGTGCGGCCGCTTCAAGCGCTGGCAGAAGCACGGGGTCTTCGTGCTGCTCACCACGGCCACCTCCATCGCCATCTGGGTGGTGTGGATTGTCATGTACACCTACGGCAACCAGCAGCGCAACAGTCCCACGTGGGATGACCCCACGCTGGCCATCACCCTCGCCGCCAATGCCTGGGCCTTCGTGCTCTTCTATGTCATCCCTGAGGTCTCCCAGGTGACCAAGGCCAGCCCAGAGCAGAGCTACCAGGGGGACCTGTATCCCACCCGGGGCGTGGGCTACGAGACCATCCTGAAAGAACAGAAGGGCCAGAGCATGTTTGTGGAAAACAAAGCATTTTCCATGGACGAGCCAGCCTCAGGTGGGTCATGGGACATCCTCCCCAGGTGCCCTTTGATTTTTTTTTTTTTTTTTTTTTTTTTTTTTTTTTAAAA